TGTTAAAATATTACCGACGACATTGCGCTTTAGAAAGATGTGCAGCCTAGATCGAGGAAATATGAATATTCATATCGAAGAAAATGCAGCCACTGCGCACGGATGACGGCAGGAATGTGCAACGCAGATACAGCTGACGTGTGCTCACGCGTGAGAGGACATTTGCTGCAATGACAGGAAAGAATAGTCAGCTACGGTTATTATCATTGTCGTTTTATGAACAAACAGCAAATTGCGAACGGTCATCCTTCGCCGGCGTAACAAGAATCGTAACAAAATAATCGAAGCTTCGCGTTCTATGAAACGAGAGGATACAAAAAAATTCATACATTAAATTTACGTGTGTTATACCGATGATTCACGATTTTTTTTCATCGACTGACCTTATTTGAGATATATTCTGCGCAAAGTTCTCCTTGGTTGTCTTTTAGACGTATTTATTATGATTTCTAAATCCTTGAATATCTCTTTAGACTCCAAGCAGTTGTTATGTTATTTTACTGTTACTCTGCTCTGGGAAACATTTTTCTTAGAGAACTCTTTAGATAATTTTTCTGAATTTCTATGTAAATAGAATTTTTATATAATTTTATAACTTTTTAGAAAATTTTTTTGACTTTTTTATATGAATTGGAACTTTTTAAAAATGCTCTGAGAAAGCCTACATTTTTCTATAATTCTTTATATACGTGTGAATTCTGAAATATTATAAAATTTCTCATTCAGTTTTCCAAAGAATTCGTAAAAAATATTTTCAGAAATCTCTTCATGAATTTAAAATTTGAAAAATTCTTAAAAATAAAAGATGTTACGAAAATTTTTTTATTTCTTCAAAATTATTGACGGCTTCTTTTAGAATCATTCATGAATTTTCTCAAATTCTTTCTTGGCTTCCTGCATTCCTTTCAAAGTTTCTTCATGCGATTCTTTCTAACTTCTTTAAAGTGAAATCTCACTCTAAGGAATGAAAATTGAGCCAGTCTTGAAAAACAGTGATTCAACCTTTATGCCCCACCAATGTAAGATTAACTTTAATCTAATTTACTCTTCATCTTTTTCTAATTCTTATGCTCATTTCTACCAATGTAGTTAAATTTTAATCTTGGTTTAACTAACTCTTCATCTTTTCCCAGTTTTAAGAATAAAAAAGGAAGAGTTAAGATAAATCGAGATTAAAGTTAATCTACATTGGTAAAAAAAAAGGGCATTGGAGCTAGAAAAAGATGAAGACATAGTCGAGATTAAAACTACATTGGTAGAAAACTACGGGCATGAGAGTGAGAGTTTACTCTTCAGGGGATCCTAAAGCAAAGCTCGAACTCCGACAAAATTACTAGATGTCGCTGTTTTTCCAGCATATCGACATGTCTTTATATACTGCCACACCAATATCTCACGCAACCTATGATACATTCAGTCGTACATTCGTATCAATTTTCGTATAACGAATTCGTCGCGATAAAGCGTCTAAGTGTAATTCTAAGAACTCGACGTTATTTGTTCGTGCAAACTACGTGTTTGTGAATCATTATTTCGTAAATACAGGTTACAAAATTTACGTATCAAGCAAATGTTGTCACGACTTGACACCTTGAGACGCCATGTTACAATAAGAAATGGTAAAAAATATATCAATTTCGAAATTTTTGGTCGTTCTCGGCATAAACTCCACCTCACAAACACGTATTAATGCGTATACTTTAATCCTGGAAAAGGATTTTCGAATCTGTGAAAGAGAAAAAAATGTATTTGTTATACAAAAATTATACGATTTAGTCGGTAATACAGGCGGCTTTAGGATCCCCTTCAGAGCGAGATTTTCGCTTTAAAAGTTTCAGAGAGTTAAAGCATCTATTTTTTTTTTTTTTTTCAATTAAGCCGAGTGTTTCCCCAGCAGAGATTCCTTCTCGATTGCGGGATATCACGCGCGGCAATAAATGTCGGAACGATAGACGGCGCGCTCGCGACAATTGTTCACGAAAGTAGGACGACGACGTTGGTCACGCTCGATGGTTCTTGGTGCAGGAGAGCAGCGGTAATTATTTGCGCGTATTTATTCGCTTGCAGTAGAATCCCGCTCGATATCGGCGATCAGGGATCCTTGAATTACGACGACGTCTGGAAAACGAATTTATGCCCGTGTCACACTACGCATTGGAGACCGAGGATTGCGAATTGAGGATTAGAATTCAGCCAATTAGAACGAAACGGATTAAACTTAAAATTACCTGATTGGTCGAATTCTAATCCTTAATTCGCGATTCTCAATCTCAAATGCGTAGTGTGACACGGGCATTACGGCGCATTTTCGCGCTGCACCAAATTGCGAAAATTTGCGAAATCCGGATCACATGCACGCGAACGAGGGAAGAGGATGGAACGACGCACGATTCGCCGCGTGATATTTAATCCGGAGTGCGAATTAAATCATCTCTCGCGTGCGTTGAAACGCGATATGGTAATTTCACACGTTAACTCGGAGGTCGCGAATCGAGCGTTTCCGGATTAATTCACCGAACAAGACATTCGTCTTGCGGATCTAAGAATCGTACCGTCCCAGAGAATTCCAAATGGACTCCGAAAATTTCAGACTGAGGTTCTCAGAGCGTTAAGTCAGTTTCAGGAGTTCGGAACTCTGATTGTGAGATTTCGTGAGAAGTTTGTTATTAATTAAGAATTTTTGATAGTTAACATTGAGAAAATAAAAAAGGCGAGAAACTCTGAAGATCTACTGAAGCATTCAAAGTTCATTATTCATTTGTCTTCAGCGTTTAAACGATTTATATCTCTGCTCTCTAAATCTGAATCAGTGGATAGTCACTAATTACCATACTTGCCACTGATAATCACTGAAGTTCAACTAAAAAGAAAGAATGTTTGAGCATTATGTAACTAAAATACTGATATTTACACGTTAATTTCAATCTTCCAATACCACATTGAAATTAAGCAGTAAAACAAGGTTAATTAGATCGCATAATAAATTAACTAGGTTTGGAATCTCACATTTAATTCATTGATTACCAATGGCATATTTGGCACTGATATCAGTGATTATCCACTGATTCAGATTTAAAGAGTGGGGTTTATCAATATTAACCTTTAGATCGCCGGTATTAAAGGTTATCAAAACCTCATTGAAAAGTGTAAAAACATATTTGTATCAAGGATATATCTTATACAACGTTTCCATCACGGCTTGAGCCGATATATCGGCTTTCTGGCAGGGAAGGTTATGGAAAAATGCATATAATGCATATATAATGGTTTTTGAGGTCGCTAAATACCGTAATGAGGTCAGAAAATGATAATTTTGAATGCTGAAGCCATTATTGCATGTAAAACAGCAGCAAAATAAATCTTGGGTAGAACTCTCCTTCGGCTTTACCCAGAGCTAACGACGTGGACGTAGAGAGTTTTACTAGCCCCTTTTTCTTTTTTATTTTTTGTTTTTTTTGAGTTTTTTTATTTAAAAAAAATTTTTATTTAAAAAAAATTTTTTTTAATTTTTTAGTTTTACTGATAGTTATACTCAGAATGGTATAATTGAACTCAAATATAACGTTTCAGGCTATATCATGAAATTAAAACCAGCCAATTCGGTTTTCCGGCGGTTTTAATAAAATTCATAGAAGATTCCAATGAATAAAATATTAGATCGAGTCATCAACAAAAATATCAATTTGAGATCAAGATTAATAATTTAAGAATAAAAATTAAGATTAATAATTCAACAAGAGTATCAATTTGAGTTCAAGATTAATAATTCAAGACTAAAAAATCAAGATTAATAATTCAATAAGAGCATCAATTTGAGATCAAGATAAATAATTCAATTTTGTATTTAAGGTGTTTAATATCTACACTTAAATTTATAATGACAAATTATATCCAATTTGCGTTATTTAAAAAAAAAAGTCGCCACTGTTCTCTTTTAATACGTTAATTTAACTAAAACAAATTAAAGGAGTCAATGGAGTTAAACAGTTTAATGCGGGAAAACTTATTAAATTTTACTTAAATCTAATTTATTATTTACTGAGTGAAGACATTAATACTTAAACGTTATTTACTTGGAAACTAATTACAGAAATGGATTGATTTACGTTTGGCATGGGGGTTAAAAATAACAAAATGTTATTCAATTCAAGGGATTAAGTTACCATTTCTATGATATGTATCTAACAGTGTAAGATCAGAATGATTAACACAGAAGAAGAGCTTAAAAGATTCAAAAACAAATTTGTGAACGGATATTTTAATAAGTTTCTTCTCACATTCTGATATTTTAATGAATTTCTTCTAATTTTCTTTTAACTCTGATATAAAAAGAGATACAAAATATTTTCTTATACGTGAAGATTATATTCTATTTTCTTTCGATATAAACTTGAAATCTTCGCGGCACAGACTTGCGAGAAACATGTCAAACAATCATTATTTCATTTCGTTTCTATCAGATTGATTCACATTTATCTATCAGTATTGACCCACGCGGATCCACCTTAACCGGATATGTCTTGTTTATCTTCGTTAATTCCCCTATACGCTCCTAAATTCTTTGACCCATTTTTCGGAACACCTTCTATTTTCCGATGTTAAATACCAGCTGTCTGTCAAAGGCTGTTTGGCCTACATTAAAAAAAAATGCCTAGACAGCACACATATCCAAAATCAGGACATAAGACAACTTAAAACGACTTTGAGCTAAAATTACTTCATTTAATCATGTTTTAAATTTATTGATAAACTGAGAAAATATTTGCTAAATCTTAATACGTATACTTTTAAATAGTACTAACTTAACTACTTACAGTAAATAGATATTTACTCAAAAAATGATAATTAAATCAAATTACTACTATTCAAACAAACATTTATTAAAACTTAGTACATTTTTTAAGTATATTAATATCTGTTATTAAAGCACGATTAAAACATTAGTGACAAGCAAAGCAATCGAGAATTCAAGTTGTTCGTATTACGTACGAGATTGAGGAATGCTTGTGATCGTGGAAAAGTATCCAAGAGGAATATCCGGGACGTCGAAGAGACAGAGGCTTGGGATCAGAAGACTGACACTTGGGACCTCGAAGTTCAAGGAGGACTCGGCCGATCAGGCTCGACGAAACCTGCTCGACGGAAGACTGGGCAATGAATTGCGACACGGGCGTAATTGACGGGTGGACTGCCTCCAATGTAAACAACGTAAACGTGCGCACCTTCGCGATCGCGAGGTAGCGTTCAACAAGCCGCCGTTCGCCGCGGCGGTTCGTGTTGCACTGCCGCGCGAGGTCGTCGAGCCTCGTTGCCTCCTAGATAACCAACAGGCACCTAGACCAATGCCTGGTGGTCTCACGTTCGAAACACGCGATTTCTTCGACCCATCAGTTAACGCGACCCGGTTAAGGATCTGGTTAGGGCGTCGTCATTCTTGCCCCAGTTATTAGCTAGAATAGATAGAGTCTCGCAAAGTGAATAAGTAATTAAGGACATGAACTCTAAACGTGAGCTCTAAAAATCGTGTAGAAATGCAAATGTAACGATCGTGCGAAAGAACATGACAAGGCGTAGGTTTAATTTAAAAGGTTGGCTAACTGGAACAGATCTTCCTCCTCTTTATTGATCAAACAAGTGTTTATTGTATGTACCGCAATACGAATTACAGCGTATGCTTTAGTTTAACCTTCTTTATTTTAATTTAGGACATGGCAAATTAGGCGAAATGAAGAAGTTTCTTTTATTGTTCAAGTGATTTGAATTAGTCGAGAATTTATGTAATTGTATATCACAATTGTGTACTCATTGTGACGTATCGCAGCTTTTCAATTGGGACTGCGTCCCAATTTTGCTTTAAACTCTAATGTTTTGCACAAAAAAAATTAAAGAAGAATGGAAAGATCTTTAATCATGATCTTTTTTGACAAACAAGTGTCTATTATATTTATCTTAGTTTTTTTAAGGAAGAAGCTTCTTTTATTGCCTCTAAGTGATTTAAATAAAGTCAAGAATTTCTAATCGTATCCAAACAGAACAAGTCATTATATAATATCAAAATGATGTTAAAATGATTCCAAAGTGATCATTAAAAGTCATTTTTCAATCATTTCCGATTCATTTTAATGAATCATTTTAACATTATTGCGACTTGTTGTTCTGCTTGGATATATACTACTGTACGAGGGCAAATCAATAAGTACCCATGTTTGAAGACAGGTGACGTTGCTGATGCAAGTTGGCATTACCATCGTATACTACCATCTTTCAAATGACGCCATACAAAATTTCAGAGTGATTCATGCAATAGTCTTGATTTGACAGCAATTCGTAGTGAGAATGTTTGATGTTTTCCGATACAATGGAAAAAGAACAATATCGATCCGTGATTCGCTTTTTATTTTTGGATGAAAAAACGTGCGAAGAAATAAAAACGAAGTTGGATGCCGTCTATGGGAACCCTTCACCATCTATGACAATCGTCAGATATTGGTTCAACGAATTCAAACGTGGTCGTTCGTATGTTTTTAATGAGGAGCGCCCAGGCCGCCTGGCAGACGTGGTTACTGAGGAAATCGTTGAAAAAGTTCACGACATGATTCTCGCTGATCGCCGAACGAAAGTGCGTGAAGTAGCAGAGGCCATAGGCGTGTCGTATGGAACGGCATTCAATATTTTGCATGATAATTTAGGAATGAAAAAGCTGTCGGCCCGATGGATGCCGCGATTGCTCACGGTGGACAACAAGCGAATGCGGCTATCAATTTCAAAGCAATGTTTGGAGTTGTTCAAGCGCAATCCGAAGGAGTTTTTGCGTCGAGTAGTAACCGTTGATGAAACATGGATTCATTACTACGCACCGGAGACCAAGGTACAGTCAAAACAGTGGATTTCACCCGGCGAACGTGTTCCGAAGAAGGCCAAGATGGTCCTATCGGCCGGAAAAGTGATGGTTTTTTGGAATGCGCAAGGCGTAATCTTCATCGACTATGAGGGAAAGCAAAACTATCATGGGACAGTACTATGCTGACTTATTGGGCCGATTCGATGTTGAATTGAAGAAAAAACGCCCCCATTTGGCGAAAAAAAAAGTGTTGTTCCATTAGGACAATGCACCGGCTCACTCCTCCGTAGTCGCCACAGCCAAATTGGTCGAATTGCGGTACGAATTGCTGTCGCATCCACCGTATTCTCCGGATTTGGCCCTCTGCGATTTCTTCTTGTTTCCAAACTTGAAAAAATGGCTCGGTGGAAAAAGATTCACGTCGAATGAGGAGGTCATTGCCGAAACAGAGGTCTATTTTTGCAGAGTTCGACAAATCGTATTTTTCGGAGGGGTTAAAAAAATGGCAGAAACGTTGGGAAAAGTGTATCCTCCTAAAAAGGGATTACGTTGAAAAATAAAAAAAAGTTTTGTGAAAATCTTGCGTCTTCATTACTAACACGGGTACTTATTGATTTGCCCTCGTATAGTCCTTTCTTTCATAGCGTGTCACAACTTTTCAATTGCGTTCTAATTTTGCTTTATAGCATTAATATTTTACATAAAAAATACTGGAAAGATAAAGTTATGTTAATTCACAATTTTTTTTTACAAACTTCCATGCTGCAATTGGTCGCGATAGCATCCAATTTTTTCTTCAGCTGCATCCAATCGCAGACTTCGTTTTCGCAGCCTTCGATGATCAAGGGATTCTCGTTTAGGTAGAAGACGACTTTAAAAGGAGCATCGCTCGAGTTGCATCTAATAGATATATTTTAAATATATAATAGTGAATAATATACTATATACGAAATATGGATAGAAAAATGGATAGAAAAATTATTCTGCCAAAAAAAAACAACCAAGTATTTCCTTTTGATTTTAGCAAATTTTGGATACGTTAAAATATAAATAAAAATAAGAAACACGTATTTTTTTTATATTTAACACATCCAAAATTTATTAAAATCGGAGGGAAGTGTTTTTTTTTTGTAAGAAAGAACTAAAAACTAGAAGAACTGTTTTGTTTGCGCGGGGATTGAAATTCTTCATATCAAGGTTGCTTTTCTTAATTCTCTTTGAATTTCTCAATGCAATTCGAATATCGTAAAGTATCTTGGCGATTGTTACCTGTGGAAAACCGCCGCAAAATTCGCAGCAAATGGCACTAACTGAGAAATCCTCCAGTTTCTATGATCCATGTCTCGGAAGTTTGTGGCTGTGAGCGCTATAGGGTTTTGGACAATTCTCATCGCGGTGAGGAACAGCATCATCATCTGCGAGTGTGTAAAATAGAACACACCCTTCGGTTCGTCGTCATTCACCTCCAATTTCCTGCAGGATTTTAGTTAAAAAAAAAGAGATATCAAAAAGAAATCAAATCTTTCGAAGAAGCTACACAACACAGTTCTCCAAGTGATGCCCTGAGGATATCCATAGGATGTATTCTGGACATCCTTAGGACATCTCTTGAAGAATTGTGTTGTATGAGGAGTTTACTTACGTGAAATGATCGACCATGTCCCGGATGAGGTAACACCCTAGCTGGCTGTTAATTTCCTCTCCCGGACCGCCGTTGTAGTAATAAAAGAGATCTTCCTCGTACTCGAGAACTCGCATCTCCTCGTCGGTGAACACATAGCACCAAGGCGACGGTTTGTCCAGGTGCAAAGTTCTCTCGAAGCGACACAAGTCATAAAATAGAAATATATCCTCTGAAATTATTATACTACAATATATAATAAAAAATTACTGTATTGATAATAATTGGCAACTGATGATTGGCTTTTGATAACACTAGCCTGCGAATTTGCACTTTTGGATCATTATCTGAACGAACTTTCATGTTTTTTAGTGCTGAGCACGAATCCGTTTTTCAAATTTGACGATCACATTACAATTTTAAGGAAAAAATAACGTCAAAGAGGAAAAACCATGATTTTGAGGATTTTCTTGACGTTGTAACTCGACAATAAATTTTTTTCTAAATTTTGTTTCTAAAATACATTAAAAATAACTGATCTTTTGATGAATGATTGTTCACCTTTACTGATGTTCATAAGACCCAAACGCTGACTGACATCCCCCAAGACTTTTGCCATTTCTAAGCCGTTAATAAACGCTTTCACTTCCTTGTTAATGCCCCTACTCTTCCAGGATGTACAATTGTCGTACAGCTATTTTAAGTAATTAACATAAGAAGTAAATATTAGTAGCGTACTTTCCTATTATAACATTCTTGATGCGTTTTAGGTATCGTGAGAAGAGAAAGAAAACTTAATAGTTTTATTGAGAACGTATTCCTAATCTTTCCGACGTTTCTCGCGTACATTGCAAGCTGTGCGTAAAATTATGAGTAAAATTTTTAAACAAATTGTATCTAATAAGGACTTTAACAAAAGATGAGGGTCTTGATTTTTTAATTACCTTTAATAAAGTGTCATTGACGATCGGCACTACTTCAAACTTGATCGATGTGTTACTGGAAGCTTCTCCTCCTGGAAGAGGAATATGCTGCATGGTGATGTTTTGCTGTATGTGCATCAATTCGATCTAGAAGATGAAAATAAAAGATATAATGTCATTAAAACAAATCTATTTTTTTCCTACAATACTTTTACATCAATAAAGGATTATAAATGATAGATGATCATATTTTAATGAACGATTGTATATTATAAAAAGAAAAATGGAGCACGAACTTATTGGGAATAAATTGGTTTTTAATCGATACACAGTCGATTAATAGTTTCTTAATGACATGTTGTTGATTATAGCGTATTATTAGTATAAATTACACCGATATTTGCATTAATTTTACATACTGATGTGTTCTTAAAAAGACTATTCTACTAAGCTGATTGAAACTTTCAGTCATGCGAATAACGATTCTCTGGATCGTTACTGCATTTACTATGTATTCTCATAAAAAGTACATTTTACGATTTATTAACATTACCATATGCAGCGAAGTGTTGTTTATCATTGGTAATATTTTTTTGGAACTAATGTTAAAAGCTCTTTCTACGAAGGATCTCATGCTGGCGATGGTACGTTGCGTAGCCGTCGATTTAAACTGGAATATAAACGTCAGATTGATAAAAGATCTATTAATTAATAATATAAATAATAATAATATTAATAAAATATAAAATACGTCTTACTTATTATATTTTATTAAAGAACTATTGTATTATTTATTAATTTTATTTATTATATTAATTAATTTTACATTAATCTACTATATATTTTATATTGTATTTGACAATCATAATATTAACAAGAAAAAAGAAAATAAAAATCGAACTCCTCAAATTATTACCTTGAAACTCTTAGTCACGTTCCAGTCGAACAATATCGGCAATTTGGCTCTGATTCTTTCGGCGAGTGACGCCAAATCTTTTTCACCCTGTACTGCCAAGTACTTTCCCTTTCCTGGGACCAGCTCGGGGTAGGGCTTCCAATTTTTCAGATCCATTTTTTCGTATTGAGATGCGCCTATGGGAAAAAAATATTTTTAAAAAGAGGGGTTATTATCCCTTGAGCTAAACAACGTGTTTTTATATTTTACTTTCATCTGTGTCAAAATGTAAATCAATCCATTTTCATTAAGATTCCATTGCTCTTTTATCTAATAGTGCATCTTTTTATCTTCTAATTCGATTCGAAGGACACACAACAAATGATTATCAGTCAGAATATAGAAACCTTAGGATCTTCTCACTCACAAGTCTCGAATACGTTGTTCATTATTATATGATCTCGAATGTGCGTGAGATTCAAGATCTGCGCGATTATAGACTCGCCAGGATATCGCGTCCCATGTCTGACCAGCATCCATATCTGCGTAGGTTCGCAGTCTGAAAATTCCGATTAGGTCCGTTTAATTTTAATGAAGTAGCCCAGCAACACACAATATTGTATCGTTGCAGTAAGTTGTGTTTTATAAGTGAATATACACGTCCCTTATCCCGCATTCATTAACCTAGACAGCACACAATATTTACAAAATATTTATAAATATTCATAAGATTTATTTTAAATATTTTGTAAATTTTTGTGGTCTTAGATTGCACAGATCACATAAACATTTATTATAAATATTATGAAATATTTATCGTAAATGTTATAGTAAATTCTATAAAAATACTTAATGAAACAACATTATAATCCAAGTAAAAAATATTTATTAGAAATATTTATTTATATTTATCATATATTATATATTACATAAAATATTTAGTCTATATTTTAATAATATTTCAAATAAAGCTTTAATTACATAAGTTGTCGAAGTATTCGGTCAGATTACAGTATCCAGTAAAACGTATCGGTTATTTCCGTATTCCCTAATATTTGATGTCTGTAGTCCATATGTAAAATTAGCATCATTTGACTGATGTAAAAGTGATCTCATCTTATTTTTTTATAAAAATCTTGATTAGTCGTAATGATGTGAGTCAGACGTTGAGAGAAAAACACAAAATTAACTAAGTCATATGTAGGTAAAAGTAAGCCATGATACGATAATTGGAGATAACACATGTATCCTCGACGATGTCAGGCAACGTTATCTGATAATGTTGTAATCTGACCGAATACTCCGACTTATGTAATGTTATTTGTGTTTACATTGAAAATGACCCGATCGGCGTCGAAACGTTTGTACGAATATTAAATATTCTTTATATTGTAAGTTACAATTTGTAACTGGCTCGTAGCCCTTCTTTTATTTATTGATTTATTCTGATTGAGCCATATTAATAATTTAATTTATCATAAATATTCTGTGCTGTCTGGAAAAAAATCTTTGAGATTATTCGTCAGTTCCTCTTGTTGTACGGCGATAAATACTCACTCGTTAGAGTCATAGTTCCTCCGGTATCATTATGAACGTAAGAATACGGGGTTTTAGTGCCGGTGTAAGGATAAAAGCTCCTGTTTTCGGAATGACAACTCACAGGATTCCCTAACACTGCGCTTTCCGCCAGGCATATCACGATAATAAAAAAGCAGAGTTTTCCACACATCTTGCAAATCCTCGCTGTTTAAACTAGAAAAGAAGAAACTGTTGACTGACTTTAATCACATTTTCTAGAAATAATAAAGCGATAGGGATAGTCTTTCAAGCAAATAGATCTAATGTGAGAAAGTAACATCTCATTTTAACATATAAGGTGTTGAAACTAATCAGCTGTCATTTTCGAATGTATTCAGTAATTGAAAAAAAATTGCGCTGAAAGGAGAAAAGTCTGCAATTTTTAATGGGTTTAATTTAATTAATTTTCTTTATATTATTATTGTTATAAATAAAATATGTAATAATGAAATGTTTGTATATAAGTTTGTTTTATTGATGAGAAATTTGTTAATAATCAAGTAAGCTAATTACTATCTAAAATTGTAGACGCTATCCAAAAACTATGTCAGATTTAATAGCTATCAAAAAGGTTGTCAGCAATATTAAAACTGACATGTTAAAAAAATTTTTTTACGAATTTTCGTAAAAAAGAATTCGACAATATCAATCATTGGGATTATTAGAATATTTTAATCAATAAAATAAACTTAAAATTTAATAAAATGTTTATATATAACATTTTATTAAATTTTATTCATGTCCATTAAAAATTGTAGACTTTTCTATTTTTTCAACGCAATTTTTGTTTTTTTTTTTTTTCAATAACTGAATACATTTGAAAATGACAGCTGATTAGTTTCCAAGATCCAAAACATAAATAATTAATATAAGAATCAATAAAGTAAAAAAAATTGAAGTAGGAACGTCTACTGCAATAATCATCAATAATTTTCAAATAGAGTGTTATCTTAAAATATCACCTGTCCAGATCACGAAGTCTGAAGTAATATTTTCCTCCTTAAGAGAGAATAGCGACTATCTACTCTCACACGAACAGAGACACGGACTGGACAAAAATGTTGCTTTCAACTCGATATTATTGGCGGACCATCTCCCTGAGACTTTGCATAAATGCAACCAGTTCTATGTATAGTAATAATGATTATTCCGTGTTGTCGCGCGTGATTTATTCGTGTAATTGCGGAGCGAAAAATTCTATGAAGGCGACACTTTGCTATCTACTCGCATAATGAATTTTTTTTCTTCCGTAATCGAGAATTCGTTGATGAATCCCGAAACTCGCGGTACATTATTCATAATAAACACCGAAGACGCTGCACTGAGCATGAAAAGTACGACCCTCGAAGGAAAAAACGGAGTATTTGTCTCTCTCGCTGTCCCACAGAAAGCCGAGTGTGGTTTCTACGGATTGACTGGCTTTTTCGATTATTGTAACCGTGACAATAATTTTATGCCTGGAAGAGAAGGAATTTTTTTGTAACGTTTGAAGAATTTTTGTGATCATTCAAGCAACATAGTTACATACAAAATATAATATTTATAAATAAACGTTAGAAATTATGTCAACTGAAAAATAAATGTTTAATATTTAATTCTTTTTTTAAACTATTTAATAAACGTAAAAACATTTATGAGATGTTTGTAACGTTTATTAAACTTTTTTTTACTAGTTTAAATTATCATTTTTATGCGAGACATTTTTGTAATTGTATATTTAATAACTTCTATTTAACGTTTTTGTTTAAACGTTTTTTAAATGTAAATTGTCTAGTTGGACATTTATGATATCGCTAAATATTTATCTCAAGTCAAATATAATTAAAAATTCTAGATAGAATCCAGAAACTTAATATCTATCTCGTGCATTTTTAAATTGTTAGATAAAAACTTAGATAAGAAATATAAATAGAAACGATTTACAATTAGAGAAAATTATTTAAATATTTAATAAAACTGATCAATGATAGCTGTGATTCTTGACGAATTTGTTGGCTATTTCATTATAAATCTTTAAATAATTTCTTTTTTATCAATATTTTGTTCGTTTAAAACCTAGAACTTCAAAATATATAGCAATTCTTTTTAATTTGTTGGAGAATCAGTGCTGACGCAGTTTCTTAAATTATGTCCCCAGCTGTTTCTCAGCACTCACACACGCACACATTTATAAATATACTTCAATTATTCCGTTCAATAACGATTATGTTAATTTTAAATCAATTTATGTTGATTATGTATCTTCCTTTAATCTTCTAATTAATTTTAAGTTAATTTTAAATCAATTTATGTGTTGATTATGTGTCTTTCTTAAATCTTCTTTAAATTAATTCCTCCTAATAATACTGGTAGAAACTCGTTATACACATATTCTTATAAATCAAACGCTTGTGGAATTCTCTTTCCCCAGGAATATTATCTTCAAACCATCGAAAATGAAAGTCTGTGTTTCCTCCCACCTGTCGAAGTTAAGTTTCTTCACGCGCCGCCGTATCTCCGCGGCAATGTCGCCGCATAATTTTGTGGCCTCCGCATCGTCGTATGCGATCTCGTCCAAACGATTGTTCATCACCGATTTCACGATCTTGTCCACCAGATCGATCTTGAACGGATTCTGCGGCTCCATGTGATAACTGTTTTGATATTTCGGCGCCTGCGACAAAGCAATTATTGCTTTTGCAGTTTAAAACTGTGTCTCAAAACAGACAAATATGTACAATAATTGGCGCAGTTTGCTTCACTGAAAACTAAAAATTTTATCACAAAAAAATATTATTAGGTACTAAGAACCGTTTTGATCGAATATCGCCTTGATTTTTATTTATTTATATTGAACATTTTTCGGTCCATTTTCACTTAATATTGGTAGAAAGGTCAAACAACGAGCGATTAATTAGGATAAAATTAAAATTAATTTATTAAATTATCATGAAAAGTTTAAAACTAGTTTTTTATTAATATATAATGCTAAAAGTTTAATATTTTAATATTAAATAACATTGGTAGAAAAGTCAGGCAACAAACAATTAATTAGGTTAAATTTAAAATAGATATTTTAATTTTAACCTAATTAATTGTTTGCTGCCTGATGACCTTTCTACAAATTTTATTGTATTTGCATTTAATTTCGAGCTATAAAATTGATATTATTTACTTAATATTGTTGCAAATATGTATTTGCAACTTTAAAAACTTTCTTTTGATCATTTTTTGTTTAATTTTTATTTAATTAATCGTTATTTTATAAGTATAATATATTTATATATAGATATATGTTTAATTATATAATTATATATAATGTTATGAAATATCTATGTTTTATATATTTTTATATCATTTATGTTGGAATTATGTTTTACATTTACATACATTTTTAAATCTTTTATGGATTGTCATTACATAATTCGCGAGATAAAAAATATTGATACAAAATCTATTAGAGAACTATTATCAAACTAAGATCTTAGCATTCTGATGCATCGATGCGAATTCCGATGCTACGTGATTCGAAAGAAACATTTCGTATCGAAGTTTTTACCTCATTGTCGTCGCAAGTTTTTTCACTCGTTTCGAGTTGGAATGGCATAATGTCGATTTCCGATGATAAATCGATCAGAATAGATCTTAAGTAGTTTGTAAAGATTCTCCCACTCTTCTGCAACAATTTTCTGGTTAACTAATCCTTGCAAGGACGCACGTATCTAAGGTAAACGACAGTTTTACTTAGAAACGCTGCGAAAATCGATCGATGGAGGCAAGAATAAATATTTGTGCATAAGTTAAGAGAAATTTTATGAAAGAAGCTTAAACACAACCTGAGAAAATAAAATTAGGTCAGATTTGTTCATCACTGTAGAAATAAATAAGTAAAAAAAAAATACGAGGAATGCAAGAATATTATACAATTCCTAAATTACATAATTAATCAATTGCATTTACAAAAAGTTCAAAATTTATTTAAAAACTTATTTAAAATCATTGAAAAGTATATAAAAAGTCACTTATTTAAAAATATATTTTGTAAGAAATATGTTCTTTTGAAAATGTGAAATTTTTCGAAAATTGTTTTTTTCTCTACTTTCTTTTATAGAACTTCTTAATCATTTTATTACGCACGATTTCGTGAATAACTTTATATTTTATTATAAGGATACAATGTTACATTACAGACAGACGTATTTAATAATTGTCTTTATTTAATTGTACATTATATTTAATATTTGTAATATATTTCCACCAGCGCAATTTTCTCGATCACGAGCCTCGGAAAACGTCGCGTTTTCATTATCGTTTAACAATTCCTTTTCTTCCTACTAACATCTCAAAATTTTTGCGTAAAATGCATGCCAGAAATGCGTTGCCAAAGTCGCGGGAATATATATAAGCTTGCTTCAAAAAGGATTTGTGGACGCGATGTGAAAAGCTTCTCGGATTCTCTTGAAACCTCCATAGATTTACAGACATTTCCAACGAACTCTAATAACGTTCCATCGTTTCGAGAGATCGATCCTCAAGGACGCAAACATGAAAATACATTCTAGAGGATCGTGTGAAGCGTTCCTTTTGATTTTACGCCATTTTTTGATCCGTTATCGCTTATAATAGTGCGGTGAAAATACGCTCTCTAAAATATACTGGTATTACATTTATCGATACGTCAATTCCATTCACAAATCCTAAAGTGACACGACGAACCGGTCGTTATTTTCCAAATTTCAACGTGCAAGATCACAAGAGAAAGACACAGTTTCGAATAATTATTGAACTAAAATATCACTAGCTTTAGAAATAATACACGTATGTACATATATTCATTACTTATTCATTCATTAATTATAATCTATAATCTTTGTAATCATCTTTCTTTCGCCTACATTACGTGAATACTTATAAAATTACTTGCAATTGCAAGTATTCGTTAATTAAAACGTCGTCAATCTTCAAGTAAATTTACTTGTTAGATTGAAGTACCTAAGATTTCCGATAAATAAACTGGAAATGTTTACGCAGAACGCAGTGTTTAACAATTGTGCGTAAATGATCACATAAGCTCTTAAAAACTTAAAAGCGAACAATTTTAATATCCTACTTCTGCCTCGGTCCGAAAAGATTTGCATTCAATAATTCTTTCGCGTTTCTGCAGAACCGGCGATGGATGCATCCTCGTGAGGTAGGCGTCTAAAACTTTTTGCACCGTTGGCCTTTTGATGAGAGTTTCCGGTAAGGGCGGCTGCTGGATCGTCCTCGAGGGTGTCGAGCGCGTAAAGCGCGAACCCTCGAGATTATGACGTACCTACTGCTTTCTTTTTGAGCGACACAGTCAACACAATTAAATATCGTTCTATCATTGTCATTCATTTAATGCCAAGGAGAATAGAACGACGCTTGTGTCGAGTGTGTTCTCTAAAAGGAAAGCAGCCTATGTGAAGCAAAGCGATGAAGCTCTAAGACAGCATCTCCACTTCCGCTTGAATGTTCTGGCGTGCCTGCTCCTCCAGCTTGTCGCGAAACTCCACGGTGGCGAAGATGTTCGGAATCTGCAGGAAGTTCTGCAACACCTGAAAGATGCAGGAACGCGAAATAATAACACGAGAATAAATCATCTTATTTGCGCTAAATTTATTTTTCTACAAATAATATCTAAAGGTTTAAAAAAAAAGAAAAATGTATAATTCTGTCCTCGATTAACGTACTTGCTTCTCTTCAAAGACTAAGAAACTTCTTTTAGATAATATCTTCTAGATAATTTTGAAGAATACTCGAGTCTTCTTTTACGGAATCCAACGGAATAAGCTTTAATAATTAATTTCTGAATACAGTAATTATTTAATTGTTATATTACAATTTATTATACTAATTATTTAATTAGTACAATAATTATAATAATTATTATTCTGAGATTATTAAAGCTTGTTTCGTTGAATTATTAACACTTTGTAAAAGCAGGTTAAAGTATTTTCCAATTATTATAATAATTGAAAGTATTGTTGTTATAATAATAATTATTATTATACTTGGACAGTTTTCGTATTGTTTTTTAAGTTCATCGAGAAATCACATTGCAGGGTCGAACGGGGTTACTCACTTTTAGCCGTAGAGCCGTGTACATGGGCTCGCTGAGGAAAGAATATTCCCCACGTATTCGCTCCCTGTACTCGGCGTAACTTTCCGGAGAGGAGCCGAGTACCGCCATGTCCAGGTCCAGGAAGTAGTGTGCGTCTTCACTGCCGAAGGCACCGCCCACCTTATGTGCCTCGGTGCTGTGGGTCGCCGCTACTTTGAGCAAAGCACAAGTCTCTTCCCTGAGCTCCGCGTCCTGGAAGATTACATTACTCGGATCACTTTCGTGAATGTTATCGACGGATCTTGGGTATTCACCTTTTTTAGCATTTTGACACTCCTTTTTTGCTTATGAAATAATCTATAGGTACTATAATTTCATGATAGGCGTTCATTTTTTTTGTCTCATCTCTATTTCATTCCACTGACAAAATCTCACAAAAGCTATATAATTAAAATTATTTCTTTTATTCTAGTTTTTAATATTTTAACTATTTCTTTGTGTATAATTTATATTAAAATTTCATGATGAGTCTTTATTTCTTTTACGTCATCTTTATTCGGCTCTAAAATATTAACAATTAAATCTTAAAACGATTATAATTAAAATTCTTTTTATTTTAATTGGTTCTATTTTTCAATATTTTATGATGATGATTACGCTGTAGATTAAAACTTGTAAAAAATTAACCAACAAAAATTCAGGCTGTTTACTCACCGACGGAATTTCGGCCTCGTCTGCAAAAGCATTGAAGTGCTCGAGATTTTTGTCTTCGCTAAAGACTAAAGCTTTAGGATCGTACTCGAAGCTGCAACAGGACATTTAAGTCAGTCGCTATAGATGAAAGAGCGACAATGTAATACAATAATTCAATTAAATAATAAAATACTGAATACGATAAGTAACACCATCGTGCATGCTGCTAAATTTCTTTTTATCGTTGCATTCAGCCACTGCGCTCACTTTTGAAAGAATATGGCGAGCAGAACAGCTCGCGGGTTTTTGAGATTGTTTTTGATTTCGTAGTAGTGATTCAGCTTCTCTCTGAGCGAGTCCAGATTGTGGTACGTGCGTTTTTCCTCCGAGTAGACTTCCTGCAGGCGCGTGAACCAGGAGTCGCAGACCGCGGCGTCCAAGCCCTCCGTAGCTTCCTTCCAGCTGTCCTCCAGCGATGCCATTGCCGCTAAAATTATTCGGTCCATTTAATTCGCGAATGTTTCACAAGCATGAAATAAAAGGCTTGCGAAAAAAAGGAATATAAATCGCCGTAAATAATTTTTTAATTAGCAGCTGACGTGTTTACCATATGGACTGACATATCGCTCCAATAAAGATTACAATTTCAGTTAAATGAAGAATTTCAATTAAAGCTCATACGATTTACGCTTTTCTGGATGAATACGGAAATGATTAAATAGCTATTGATTTAATGTTTGAGGAAAAGGAATATTAATTGTGTTTCCAAGAAAGGGAATTTATAGTTAAATATTTGCCTCAAGACGTTGGTCGTTAATGGCTTAAATTAATTAAAATTAATTAATTACTGCTTGAACTTTCCTCACAAAAATTTAATATTAAGAGGTAGTGATTAATTACTCATTATAATAGTGCTTTTAATGTTCAAAATAAGTAATTAATCACTATCTTAATATTAAATTAACTGGTATTAAATTGGAATTTTGTAAGTGTTGAGAATTAAAAAGAATACGATTTTTTGTGGTAATTTTTGTTTTTATTTAACAATTTAATGAAAAATTATAATTTCAAAAATTGAATATGGAAAGGAGAGAGGACCCTTACAGAAATCTAATTTAATACTGGAAATTACTTATTTTATGTACTAAAAGTTTTGAGTGATTAATTACACGTTTTGAGTATTAAAAGTATTGAAAGCAGCCACCTTTTAGTAAATTTAAATTTCTGTAAGGAAACCGAAAGACGCTCAGACATTTACGTCTGTTTACAGATATGCAGAGGTCAATGCCAAAGGATAACGCAGAAAAGAAACAATCGAATTCGATGTCTGAAATGAAGTTCACGGATCCAAGGTGAACGAGGAACCCGAAAGCACCCTCGGAAACGTTCGAGAAGCCGCGACGTGTCGAGTCGAGAGGAAGCCAAGAGGAAGAGATCGTGAACGCGAGTTCGCGCTGGATCGTGGCACTCACTTAATTTCCGACGGACGAGGAGCCGCGGACGCACACGGTGTTTCGGGGACAGCGGGGAAATTACCGGGGCATGATCCACGCGCGAACGTCTCGCGAATGAGCCCCGCTAAGCCAGCGGAGCGCTACGTAGCGCCGACATACACAACAGTCCACCTCTACTTATTGATCGGTGGTGACTCGTTTCCGAGCTTGTGGCCGCCAGCGGGAAGTTCCCGTCGCACGTATGGAAATCACACTCCCTCACGTGCGATTTCCGAGGGAAAAATCTTCTCAGTGTAGGTACGATATTCATATAGTCCTAAGACATTAATACAGCTCTCTGATTGGCTTATACATCTTAAGACTGTACTTAAGACAGTCTCAAATACGATAATCTACTAAATATCGGCTATAGTTTGTTTTTTATTGCTGCACTGCTCTGCACTATTTTCCTTCCCGCTTTCGCAACATTTTAAATATAATATAGTGAGTAAGATCTGTGTTTTTTATACTATTAAATTTATAATGTCAAATTATATATCCAATTTGAATTATTTTTAATCATAATTCCTATAAATCGCCATTGTTCCTATTTATTATGTCGTTAATTTTACTAAAACAACAACAAGGAGGTGAATAATTTAACTCAAGGAATGTATTAATTTGATTCAAATTTAATTTACTATTTACTACGATTTTACGTTAATATGAACACTTTATTTTAAAATTAAGTACTTTAAAATTAATATAAAAAGATTGATAATTAGATCTGATTGTTTTTTTCAAATATTATATGTTTTTATTAAAGTAATATAGTTCGACATACTTAGAAGTTAAAAATAACAAAATATTGTTTAACTCAACGAACTGATTTGAATTTGATCCTTTAATAGTACACAGATGAACTAGTATACTTTTGAAACTTAAAGTAAATAAATACTCACATACATGTATGATATTTGATGAAAAAGAAAAATCTAATGTAGTTTATAAGGCAGGAATAAAAAATAAACTTATACTTATTAATTAGTTTAAGTTAAAAATTGTACACTAATTACAAAAAATAAATGTCTCTCTTTGTTTTGCGCAAATCAATTTCTTTTAATTGATTTTATAACAGCGCGAGAAATGCAGTTTTAGTATTGTTATGTAATTATTAAATCTATATATAAGAATATCAGAAATACAGAATATATTAGCGCTTAATAAAACTTTCTGAATTTATATACATTTTCCAGTTCATTAAACTGCGCTCAAATGCAGTTCGTCTTGAATAAACGCACTTTTAAACTGAAATTAGAATAATAATATCACAAATTAATTTGATAATCAATATAATGACGCCAATAAGCACTTTTAAACTATATTGCCAAGAGAATTTTTATTATTTATTTAACTTAGTTAATATAGTTAGTATATGTGAATAACTTCAATTTTAATAAAATTAGTCATCTATTTTTATGCTTGTATACTACGGTTTATTTTGTCATTGTTTTAAAACATAACAATTAAGCGTTTAAATTATACTTTATATTTATTTAACTGTTTATTTAAGTTGATTCTTTCGTTGATTGTATTTATATTTCATTTATTGTCACATTCGTTTTACGTATAGGTACACGTATTGTGAGCTTTTTCTTAAATTACTTATGTAAAAAGTATGATGTAAAAAGAATTATCAGTGTTACAATGATGTAATGCTGGCGATTTTTTAATTTAATCAATTTAAAGAAAATTCTGTTGTACAAAATTGATATGCAAAATTTTTTAATTTCCTTGATATTATTCCAGGCATGTAGAATGGCAGAAAATTTTTAAATCCTTCGCGGAGGAATTGATCGAGAGATCGAATATCGCTATTGCGAGAGTCGAATTTCGATATACGTACTGGTATCATTCGATGTGGTTCGATATCCGGCACTTGCCAAAGTTATGGAGCGCTGTGCATTGCGCGCGAGGGAGTATCATGACTTCCGAAAATTATCCAGAGATAATTTGTTGTTGTTCTACATATCGCTGATCGCACTGATCTTTATTACTTTGTTCCTGTGCGGCTTTTTCTCCGGTGCTCATTATGACAATGAGATCGCCTCGGACTCGAATATCCCGAAATACGTCGGTAACTTGAGGTAAGTTAACCATTAAACTCGTGCAGGGGAAAAAAGAGAGATTAGATTTTATCTTTGAAAATTAGTTTAATTTTATTAGGGGAAATGTGATACAATCAGTATTTAATGAGAAAATAAAAAGTAGAAGAAGAAACTGTGTGTCGTATGAGATAAATAGCTTCGACCTTTGCTAGGTCGAAGGTATTTATATTATCTTCATCTTCTTGGTGGAAATTTTTCTCAGAATCCTTCATGTAATTTATCAGCATTTTTGTTTCAGAATTTTTGAACAATTTTCTAACTTAGAAAATTTCGGAGATATATTTTATATGAGTTGGAACACTTCAAAAGTACTGGGAAAAATATACATTTTCTCTAGAATTCTTTATATATGTGAATTCTGAAATATTCTAAGATTTTTCATTTTATCCCTGGTGAAAAAGTTTCGTTGAAATTATTCTACGTTTTGGAACATTTCAGCGAAATTGCTGAAAATTTGCTGAAACTTCACTGAAAGTGAATTTTTCAGCTAACATACTGAAAAATCAATGAAATCCAATCGAAATTTCTCTGAAATTCTTGCTGAAATTTGTCTGAAAATTTTGTCAAAAATGAATTTTTCAGCTAAAAATCGTTGAAATTAAATTGAAATTTTTTTGAAATGCTGAAATTTTGTTAAAAAGTGTTCCAAAACGTGGAATAATTTATTTGAAATACTGAAATTTTGTTGAAAAATGTTCCAAAACGTGAAATAATGTCAGCAACATTTTTCCACCAGGGATAATTTCTGATTAAATGAATCATGAGATATTTTATAGAATAAAAAATACAGAATAAGAAATTTTGGAATATTTCAAAATTCACGTATATGAAAAATATTCTAAGAAAAAATATAGATTTTCTCGGTATTTGCGAAATGTTCGAATTCGTATAAAAATTCTGAGAAAAATTTCTATCAGGGCTGAAAAGGACTTACAAAATGTAAAGAACAAATATACATATAATTGATAATTGCATTAATAAATAATAAATATAATTTACTTAATATCTTAATATATTAATATCAATACTTCTGCAGAGTAATATATTTTTGGTTTAATTAATACATTAAGGAAATTGAAAACTATATTCAAGTTTGAGACAGAGAGTCTTATTTAATAATTATTTATATATTTATATCTTGAGTACATTGATACTTTATTTCAAAATATTTATCGTTGTGTGTGTTGTTTTCAGAATAAAGACAGATCTGTTATACAGACCGTTGATAAAAAGATTAATATTCATGGTGATCGACGGGTTAAGGTGGGACTTTGTCGCGGGTCCAATAGGAAAAGTCGCCATGCCGTTGACGAGTGATATCCTGACAAACGATCGCGGATGCTTGTTACGAGCTATATTGCAGGCACCAACAGTGACGATGCCTAGAATAAAAGTGAAGCTGCAATTTTGTTAATAATTTATTCGAAAGTATTCTATGCTAAGAAGTCACTTTGTAAGAATTTTTATTTATTAGGCCATGATGACTGGTACAGTGCCAAACTTTGTAGATGTAATACTGAACTTTGGGAGTAAACCTTTGCACAGCGACAATTTGTTGTTTCAAGCGAAGGCACATGGACACAAATTAATATTTTATGGGGACGAAACTTGGCTCTCTCTATTTCCTAATATATTTGATCGTCACGATGGTACTACTTCGTTTTTTGTTACAGATTTTACAGAGGTAATTAATGTATTATACAGAGTGGTCCACTTAAATTGAAAATTTTAAATTAAAAAAGTATAAAATACTTTTATGTGTAGAATAATTAGAGGAATTATATTTAAAAAATAATATAATTTAAATAAAGTGACAAACTGTCATATCTTTTTGTTGCCTCCACCTAGAAAAAAAAGAATGTGATCAAAATACGCTTGAAACCGTTCCATTTTTACCTAAAGCATTGTTTTGTATTATTAAAAATAAATGAAATATTTAAGATTTTCAATATAAGTGGAACAGATAATAAGTTATGTGATAAGCTATTATCTTATTCATAATAAGATTATTCTTAGGAGACTGACTGTTTGTTAAATTTTAAACAGGTAGATAATAATGTGACTCGACATATACGAAACGAGTTGAGTAATGACGATTGGGATGTGATGGTTCTTCATTATCTCGGACTAGATCACATTGGTCATGTCGAAGGTCCGTTTGGTCCGTCAATCAAACCTAAATTACAAGAAATGGATAAAATTGTCGCTCAAATAGCCCATAAAGTTTGGGATTGGGTTAGTATTTGAAAAATTATCTTAATCCTTGCTTTGTAATCTTTTTCTTTTTGTCTGAATATAGTATGTAAAAAATTTATATTATTTAGAAGTTATTTAATATCAGTATTATTTTATTTATAACATAATAAAATTCTATCACTTATTTATTTGCTCATTTTTAGAATGGCGATGGAGAATCTACACTTTTCATCGTCTGCGGTGATCATGGGATGAAAGACTCTGGCGGCCACGGCGGCTCGACGCCGGAAGAAACAACAGTGCCGCTTATTACGATAGGAGGAACTGTCTGTGCATATCAGGAAGACTCTGAATTGAGATCTCCGATGGAGATCCAGCAACTCGATGTTGCGGTGACATTATCAGCCGCCCTCGGACTACCCATTCCTTCTACAAATCTTGGCTCCGTATTTCTGGATCGCATCTACGATCTCCAAGACGCTCAGCGGCTCTTCCTCCTCAATTACAACTCGAGACAGGTGTTTGACCATTTCCAGAAATTCGCCTTTCGCGAGGATCAAATTGAATGTAAGCATTTGACTCTTAAAAATTATTCGTAAAATATTAAGGATATTTAGATATTTAGGTAGAGAGAAGATAAGAAATTCAGGATTATAGAAATTTAGAAGTCGAGGAAAGAGAAATAAATTTAATGATACAAAAAATCAAATTTAAGTTTTTAAGATTCAAAAACTTACAATTCACAAATATATCTAGAAGCGTATGAGGGCACATCTTCAAAAAGTCTCCGAAATTATTTTATTTATTTTATACAGATATATTAAAAAATAAAATTGACCAGCAAGGAAGGACCTCATAATTAAATAATAAAGATGCAAAATAAAACAACTTATTTTCAAAGAATTTTCTTTCTTGTATCTTAAAAAATATATATTAACAAAGAATATTTTTCAAAGGATCTAAGCTGGATGAGATCTACATACTACTTCTTTCTTTGCACATACATCTTATTGTAATAACTGATATCACCTCGTGGGTTGAGCTATCTATCGAGCGCGTCTCCGGGTGGCGGATAGGAGGATGACCAGACAATGTGGAGTTGTCTGGTTAGCGGCAGTCATAGCCGACGAGGTAAAAACTGTCGCCGCGGACCAGCTTTCCAAGCCAAGTCGTGAGCTATCGTGACGAGGGCTGCGTGGTACTGGGAGAGCAGTGCCGTTAACGATGCCTCCGGGGAACCGGGCGCCACCCCGGCAGTACACAGCTTTACCCATGCATGCGGGGCTCTGCGTGGGCGGACCGTATATATTCCCTAGCTGCTCGTGGGATTCAAATGGAGAAATTTAATTTTAATCAAGAAATTAATATGAAAACGAAGGTAGAAGACTCGCAGAAGATTTCACGCACACCAGTCACTCACTTTATGGCCTACAGTAATACTGCATTCACCACAAATCAATCGAATGCCGTGGTACCGAGAAGCAACACTTCATCCCGTTCGCGAAAAAGACGAAAAAAACAGAATTACTATCTACGTAACTTTGCCTTTAATTTTTCAACGTCGTCCTCGACGGTGCCACAGGCAACGACGAGCACATTCACCGATGTCAAGCGTCCGCAAAGTTCCATCAGTTTTATGTCGAATAGCGAAATCACCAGTAAACAAAAAATATCTGATAATAAAATCGAAATGGTTAATCATAATCTAACCAGAGCGATAGTGTCGACGAACAACATACCCTCGATGACGCCACAGGCAACGATGAGCATATCTACCGGCGTCAAGCGTCCGCAAAGTTCCATCGACAACTCTGTGTCGAATAGCGAGATCACTAAGAAGCAAAAGACATTTGACAAGAGAATCGAAGTGATTAACCATCACTTAATCAGGGCGATAGTGTCGACGAACAATATGCCTTTGAGTCTAAAACACTTAACACTGTTCCGAGGTGCTATCTCGAAGGAAATTGACAAGATTGTCGATGGGTTTATTCCCAAATTTCATGATTCATATATCAAATTTGGCGCTATAGTAATCAAATGTGTCGATCAGTCATCGCTTTACTGGCTTTCAACGCAGATCGACAACATTTCGCCGTGGTCGGAGGCCAAACTCAAGATAATCATTTACAATGAGCTGCAGAAGTATTTTCGGGCTTGCGTATGGATTCCGGGTCCACTCGAGTCCTCCGAGACCGTGCTGAAGCGATTGAATCGACAAAATCCGGATCTTAATACGGTAAATTGGCAAATATTTGCCGAGAACTTGGGAGCTTTCGAGGATGGAAGAAGTGTGTTTCTCGGGGTGCCTGAATCGGATTTCAAGAAACTTGAGGCATCTAACTTTACGGCTTACCTAGGTCTTGGGCAGGTCAATTTTGCCTTTAGCAACATCAATTAGGAGAGCTCAGTCGCAGCTAGTTCGTAATGTCCAGCTATTTTTTAGCTCGACCGAGATAAGCTTAATTTTTTGCTGTACATAAAAGACTACAATCTAAAAAATATTCTTTATATCACATGTTCTTCCATGGTATAACAAAGAAAACAAGTATTTCTTTTGTAAGTTAATTTTTTCAATTTTGTATAAAGACAAATAAATATCAGGACATATTTGTCCTTATGTATCAGAAATAATTTGACATACGTAAATTAATTTCTACCTATTTTTGTTTCGTTTATTTTCGTTCTGTGTTTCGTTTATTTTCATTTTGTGTTTCGTTCCTCTTCAGAAACTCCGAAGTTTAACAATAAAAGAAAAAGCTTAAATTGTGAGGTGTCCATTAAGGCACTAGCAGAATCCTTCTAGGTTTTAATTGTTATTAATAAGAGGACGTAATTGTATTACATTCGAAACAATTTATCTGAAACTATTCAGAAACTATTTAATCTCTTTTTTTTTATTAAAAAGAAGGGGTTTAGGAATGCTGGAATTTTCTTTTGGGCTTCAAGATTCTCGCATGAAGCCTCAAAAAGAAATGTTGATTAAAAATCTGCAATCTGACATCAAATAATTAATAAGCTTCTTTAAAGAAATAAAGAGATGCTCTGCTAAATGACTACATTTTTTTGTTATTATTGCAATAACAAGAAATCATTGCATCTCATTGAAACTTTAAAGCGATAATGAATTAAAACGAACTACTACTTATACATTACTTCAATACTATTATCTTTATTTATACATCGGGGTGCGTTTTATTTATATTTTCTTCTACAAGTAGCATCTTTTATCATCTCTTGATATATCCTCACAGTATTCCGAAATTTCGAATTAGCGATCATAAGGCAAATTTAATATTTTTCAGATACGTACCAGAAATATTTGGATGCCGCGGATCTGCACCTTGATTGGTTGAACTCAAACGAAACACAGCGTGATCGAAACATTGAAAATATTGCTTTGTCTTATCACGCGGTTCTTAATGCGATGAAGAACCTTGTAACTAACCATATAGTCAATTATGACTTTCGTCTGATAATTGTTGCCTTGATCGTCATGTTGCAAGTAAGCAAAACAGATAATTTAGAAAGATCCAATTAGTATTTAAGAAATTATGTTTAAAGAGGATTTAAATCAAAGTGAATCCTGGTAAAAAAAGCTCTTATAATTTCTTATAATATTAAATATATTATTAATTTTTTATATATGTATAAAATTTATGAATATTTGTAAAAAAATTAATTTCAGATTTTATAAATTTTTTTTCAAATTCGGAGATTATAAAATGAGGAATCTTAGAATATTACAGAATTCATATATATAAGCAATTTTAAGATCTAGATTTTTTTCAGCACTTAAAAAGTGTTGTAATTCATATAAAAATTAAAAATTTTCTAAAAAAAAAATCAAAAGTATATGGAAGCTTTGAAAAATTCTAATTTTATGAATTGAAGAATAAGAAAGAATAAGAATAAGAAAGATTATCTTTTTGATTTCTTTTCACTAGAAAAAGAGATAATCTTATTAAGTAAATTTTGAGATATGTGTAACTCTGTAATTAGTATCCTTTACTTTAACTTAAGGAATTTGAAGATAATTTTACTTTACATCTTCTTTCAGGTAGTTTTCATCGCGTTTTATGTAGAAACTGCAGTTTGGCGTAAAAAGACTCCATCTTTTTTTTTGGTGGGATTTTGTCTGTGCTTAGGATTGTATGATCTTTACAGTTTTGGAGACACAACTTCTTTCTATCCGACGAGTATACTCAAAACTATGTTGTTCCTACTAATCATCGGCGTTTTATATATTAACTGTAATCTTTTATATAACGACCAGAAAAATGTGAGAACCAATATTTATTTAATTTCCAGTATTAGATAATAAAAAATATTAATTTAAACATTGAAAATATTTGTTGCAATAAATAATTATAGATTTATTTAATGTATATAAATTAAATAAGAATACTCTAGTAATAAATATTTTACAAATATACCCTAAATTATTTTTATGCTAATATTATAATATAATAATTGCTATTATAATTATTGTTTCCTATAGATAAAATTCCTGCTATATTTTAGTAATTTTTGAACTCGCATTTTTTTTCTTGTTTTTCAAAATATATCTCCATTGTGATATTTTTAATTTTCAATTTTTAATGTAGGTTACGCTGGAACTAAAGATATACAAAATGTTAGAAATTAGTACGGTGATGCATATAATAAGCTTCTGCGGTAGCAGTTACATCGAGGAAGAACATCAGACATGGCACTTTTTCTGGTCTACTTTAATCGCATATCTTGTCTATAAATATTTTACGAAATTGCTTGCATTAATGATGCATCATCGAAAGTGAGTAGAATTTTTCCTCCTGATATAATAGTAGATCAAATCTGACATTGAAAATATTATTTGTTCACAAAAAAATCAGCATATAATTTCTCTCTCTCTCTCTCTCTCTCTCTCTAAATTTTTCAGAGATTGTATTATGTATATTTTACCACATTTCACGTGTCAGTCAAACAGAAATTGATACATTAATTACATGTACTTCTTTAAATATATTTCGAGAGATCACATTGTGCTTCTATTATCTATTAATTTTAGATAAATAAGAAAAATGTAATCATTCGCTTATCAATTTATTATTATATAAATTTATAAAAAATAGAATGATAAAATTCAAGTCAGATTTGAATTATCTGTAGCGACACAGCTGAATCTCTTCGCCATCTAATAGTATGGTATATAACAGTAATATAGTGCAATCAATCGAATATTACGTAAAACATTGCGCTATGCTGTTATTGCTGTTTTTGGGACACATATTTCTGCGAAAGCTAAACCGCACAGGCAACAAGTGGGCCCATCTGCCTGACATAGCTCGGTGGTTGAAGGAGGACGATAGTAAAATCGGCATGACACTCCTACTTTTAACTGGTAAAATGTCTAAATGCTGATGAAAGTTTTAATCTTTTTAAATATTGAAGTACAGATAGATTTTTTTAATTATAAGCAACTAGGAAATGAATTGTTCCTTTGATATGGACAGAGATCTTTTACAAAATTTGAATCAATAGTTTGTGACATTTATTTTCAGCATTCGCTCTTCTAATCTGGATTGCTTATAAATTTGAAGAAGAAGAATACAAGCAGCAATCGTTGTTTCGGAATACAGCTATCGCGGTATGTATATATCTTCGCCATATGTCCAACGATGCAGTCGTGAAAATTCCATTGTATTCCTCAAGGTAAATTGTATTATATTTACACTACACGTAAATATCAATTTAATCGTTCATTAAAGCGATTATACGAGTGAATCACACATTAAGAAGCAAATTTTTGCGTTTGTTGCAGTGGAATATATGAAGTACAAATATTTTGGGTAATAATAGTGATATCTCTGATAACAAACTATGGATACCGAGTGATAAGGATAATTAAGGATGATAGCAATTATTTTACGGATGCGATTCTGTTCTTTATCATAAATATATGGGTGATGATCTCGGCGATGTTGCACCAACCGTATAATGTGATCCTGTTGCCGATGCAGATCATTGTAAGCTTAATAATTGACACTGTATTGAGAGAAAACAATTCGCTTGATCGTGGAGTTTTCTTACATTATTGGCTGGGCAATGTATTTTATTTCTATCAGGTAAATATTTGACACTTTGAAATCCTTGATGTTTATTAATGCGTATGAATAGAATAAGAGAAATCTTGAGGAAAATATTTTATCTTTGATCAAATCTTTTCTTTATTTTGGATAATTCTTAGTGAAATTTATGTATGTGTGAAAGCATTGCTTTTTTACAGTATTATATTATTTAAATTTACCGGAATTGTTTTTCTATTAGTTAAATTTCTATAAAATTTCGTTGGAGATTTAAATATTCTGAAGTTAATATACTTCGTATTTAAATATGCTTATAGTATAAAAAAATAAAGATTTATCTAATTTCAAATTCTTATAAAGTTTTCTCAGCGAGAAACGATACAAAATCTTTTTTATTATGATTAGTCTAATAAATAGTATAATTCATTAAGATTGTTAAGGACAAAGTTGATTACTTATTTCGTACTGTGCATTGATATTTTAGGGAAACTCTAATAGCCTTGCGAGTGTAAACGTCGCGGCAGGATATGTCGGTCTACAATCTTACATGCCTTTTGTTACCGCTGTGTATTTAATCATCAATACTTATTCCGCGCCTGTCCTGGCTTACTTCCTGCTCATTTACTATCGGCAGATGAATGAGATATATCTGCAAGTACTCCGCGAATTCTACAATTATTGTATTGCGATTGATTAAATTGGTACACTCTTTATTAACGAGAAAATCGATTTATATCTTTACAGCTGCACAAACATTGAGAGGATTGTACATACAAATAAGCGTTACATCGCGTGGAGGTTGCTGACGACTGTTTTCTACATGTACCTTACCATCTTCCAGCGTAACCATTTATTTGTGTTGTCGGTGTACTTGCCAAAATTGTTGTATGAGGTGACGTATACCGCGACGATGTGTTGCAGCGCACTATTAACAGTGATTGTAATTGCGGTGCAACATGCAATGATTCCTTTTGACGACGTGCACAGATGTAATAATTGCGGGACCGGTATACGAAACGGACATGCGTTTGCACAATCGTAGAAACCGGTGCAAGAAACGGACATGCGTTTGTACAAATAAACAAAATTTATATTTTGACGTTTCGGAAAATTAGATTTAATTTAAATTGATTTTTATAAGCTTAATTAGATTATCTAATTAATGTAATTAAGTTAGTAGTTAATAGCGTTTATACACTCCGATGAAAAAGACTGATAGAGGTTATTCCAGTGGTAAGAAAAACGATCAAAATTCGTAAACTTTGTACAGCATTAATTGTACTGAGTACAACTAATCGATATATATGAATACTCATGAAATGAATTTATCACAGGAGTATTGTTTAATGAAGATTTTATTCCCGTCTTTAAAAAAACATCTTTTTTATTGCGTAAAACTAAACCTAGAATGCAGTATTAACAGCATCGAAACGATAGTATAATGGAAGTTTATTAGTAAAATAAATTTGCTAATGGAATATCGTTTAATAAAGACTATAATCAAACCTACTTTTGTTCGTATAACACAAAGAATCGGACCTATTTTATCCTTTTTATATTCGCTTCAATCACCATATGATAAAAGGCAAGAAGAAATGGATTTTTGATGTAAGATTTAAACAAAACGAAATGCTTATCTAAAAATTGTTGAATGTAATTTGCTACATTCAGAAAACATTCATAAACATATTTTCCGAAAATATTTAAAAAAATTGAATTTTTTTTTACTAAATGTGTAAATTTATTGGATCTAGCAACAACTATCTTTAATAATTTTCCTTTATAGTTTCCACTCATACTTCGCACAACGAATGAAAATTGCGTCAATTTAAAGCAAAGAAAACGTGTAATAAACGAAAGGTATGCGCGTGCATGTTTGTATATAAAGTATCATTAATCAAAATCAAATAATGCTAAAGCAGTGCAAAGGAAGAAATTAAGTTTGCGGGAGCTCGGTTAATTGTGGAAGCCGTTCTGAAAGTCGCGATTAGAATCACATTCCACTTTATCGGTTAGAAATCAAGAAACATATGCAATCCAGATGTGACTGAGTATTGTCTCACATAACCAGAGCATTGTCTCGTACCAGCGAGACTGTCACTGCTACAACTCGAATTTAGTTCGACGTTGCTACCTAATAATCAGCTCACAGAGTTACATTTAATTCGCTAAAGTCTTCACTAATCTGCGATCACGACAAATAAATAACTACTGTTGCGTTCAAATGCCAAAAACGCCCAATTTTTCGATTGTACGATTCTACAATAAGCTCGGGCGAAATCGAACGTCAATGAGGATGCCAAAGTTATCAGTAGGAACATATTTAATATAAGTACTCTACATAATACTAATTGTAAGATCGTCAAATGCAAGATGTCTCAGACTTCCCAGGCACACTCGCATTATTATGGATATTACGAAACAATCTTCCTATAAATTTTAAATTATTAAAATAATTTCTTTTTTTTTTTTAAATAAAATCTAAAGCGATACCTATGTAGGACATCTTGAATAATGACAGAATCAAGAGCGAGAGAAATAATGTGCCTCAACGATGCTTTGCGGCTTCCCGTAAATAATTTATCATCGAAAAAAAACTGCTTTAATCGAAGCGTTTGATAAAACAAGATAGAAAACTTGTTCATGACGCTCACTTAAGCTCGCAATCGATGATCGACCGTCGCAAAATATAAATACACACATTGCTATAGAAAAATACCGGTGCTTTGTTCAAGTCTAATTGAATTTGGCAATATTTGACACAGCGTTGTAAGTACACGAAGCTCTTAAAGATCCTAGAGCCTTTTGGATTTTTCGAGTTTGCAGCAACTGAATCACAATACCAGTACTTTCGATAATATGTGCTAATAATATATACACTTAACGATATACCCGTATATCTTTTAAAACGCATTTGATATTTCGAAGACGTCAAATTGGATTAAAATGGCGAATTCATTCCTAGCTTTGTGCCAAATTCCAAACGTGCCCTTTTCTGATATCTCACGTTCACTCTGAAAGAAAAAAAGGCATATGAATATTAATTAATTTCGGAGAAATTGCAGTGAATGCGCCAATATCTAAAGGCATGCGGAAGGAACGTGCAGACGTACTTGATCTCTTGCCATTTGATCAACTCGTTAATTGCAAACGTTAGCGGAACAGAGAATAGAAAGAATAATGGCACGTGTATCGGGAAGTTTTCGATCTTCTTACTCTCCTCTCGCCAAAACTTGCGGAACACTATACCAGAGAACAACGCTTGCACACACAATCTACAACAATAATGATAGATGTATTTTAAAATTTAATCTATAATCTACAGATTTTCTTCTAAGGACAAATTTTTTTAAGCAAACTGTCAATTAGAGTTTTCACTTACACAATAAATACACCAAGAAACCAGGTGCAGTTACTCATAGGATTTTTCTTCCATATCGAGTATTCCCTGTGCACGAAGCTAACAGATATCGTAACTGAAAGAAAAGATAGATATTAATGAATTTCTAAATATTGTTCGCATGTGTCAATGAGTGTATGATGTAAATCAATAAGTGTATGATATGTCAATAAGTGTATGTATGTGTATTGATATAAAATATTTGCCATTTCGGTTAAGTCCTGATTTTAAAAAATTAATAATGCATAACTTTTTGAAGGAGAATTGTAAAATTTTGGAAAAAGACAAAATAAAACTGAACTTGAAGACAGAAGAAAGACTGTTTCGATTAATAGAAATTAAAACATTAAAATTAAGTAATTTTCTACAAAACAAAAGATTTGACAAATTAGATTAAAGTTTTTGTGGCAACAAATTAGTATATTAACAAGAAGACAAAGATATCGTTGGATAATTACCGAAGTGTAGGACTATAAGCGTGAGAGCGAAATGCTGTACGACCAGAACGACAATCGGCTTACTACCCCAGCCGCCCCAAATCTGGTCCCGCAGGTCCGGATATATGTACAGGCACTTGGAGTTCTGTGGTACATAGACGGGGCAAAGCGTCAGAAACGAGATGCACTGCGAGAGGATCACTGTGATCACCGTCGGCAAGAACTTGCTGCCATAGCACCATAGCACGAATAGCGTGACCTATAATATATTTCTCAGTGTCATCTCTGTTCTCGAAATTTGAATAACGTTGATAAATAACACTAGTTTACAAGGTTTTATGCAAGAACAATTGAAGACTATTTCTAGGGTAATAATTTTCGACGTTGAGTCCGAATCTGCCATTGAAATATTTCCATCAGATAAAAAAAAATTGTATTTTTATACCTTTTCGAGATATATAAATTAGAAAAAAATCAGAAGAGTTGAGCGTTTAATTTTTGTAGGACTTTGAATTAATATCCCTAATATTTTTCAATTATTATTATCACATCCTGGTGGAAACGTTCGCTTTGTTCATCACTTGTCGCACCTAAATTATTTGAAAAAAAATGTTATATCTTAAAAATTGATATACTATATGTTAAAAATTTGATCTGATGAAATTTTTTTTTGATGGCAAATTTGAATTCAAAGTCCTAAAATGCTTTTAAAAAAGTTGTTTTCTTTTCTTGCACCGAAATTATTCAAAATTTGTAAACTATGTAATCAGTGTTTCCACTAAACTCTTTAAGCCGTGATCAAATGAGAAACAGAGATTGAGATTGGATTAGAATTTAACTAATCAAAAGAATGAAAATCAATCTCAAGTTTAATGTATTTTGCTTCGATTGGTTAAATTCCAATCTCAAACTTAATCTCTGATCACGGCTTTACTCCAATTTTTTTTCTCAAATTCACACTTTATACATCTTAAATTATATATCAAAATTAGATACTAGTATAATGTTCTAAAGAAAATAAATAAATAATAAAAATGGAATATAAAAATAGCGTTTTTCTCCTTATATTTATATGGCTCGAACCATATAAAACACGCGAGTTTCAAAAAGATCATCAGTCATTCACTTATCCTTGGCCCTTCTCACCTCTCCATTGACCACGCATTGATTCTTCCCGGTCGCGCGTTGCATTATCGTCGAGTCTATCGGCGTGGCGATCATGGATGTCGACAGTATGGGAATTATTAAGCAGCATAACCAGAGTATTTGATCGATGGAGAACAGCGGTGGCAGCAATAGAAACGCCGACAGCATTTGCACAAACGAGAGTGTAACTACACAGCACAGCCAGAATTGTATACAGTTCCATAAATTCTTCATGTAATAACGAGCCTGTATGAATACAAGGAAAAGTTTATTATCGTTTGTTATGCTTCATTATCTTCTCGTTTAATTTCCTGGAGTAAATAAAATACATCGTACCTCCATAATGAGATGAAAAATTGCCACAGGATCCTCGCGTTTCACACTCAGTGAACATGCGACAGAATTTAGCGCTCTACTCAGATCAACGGGAGAAATTCCTTGGCTCTCCGTAGGAGATACCAATACCGGTACCTTCTGACATACCTGAGGATACAAGGGTTCCACCGCCACTCTACGATTGATTTACAAGCCTTTAGAAAACTTTGACATAAGGAAATCATTTTCGCATTAAATCGACAAAATAGAATCTGCTGTATGGATATTTCTCTAGAAACTTAATTCTGGATATCGATCATGTAACTTTTCTCTAGAGTGGAAACGTGAAAAGTAAACATTTTTACTTGCATATATAGTTATCATTTTCGGTTAAAACCTGCTATATAATCGAAAACGCTAACACATTCATACAAAAAAATTCTTACTTTTCACATTTCCACCCTAAGGAAGAAATTATGTGATTGACCACCTATTTTTTTACAGATTTTGCCTGAATCCTTGTAATAAATTGAATCGGTGAGATCATAATTATTATAAATTACCCTGCGTCAGCCTGCATGAAAATAGGCATGTTCTCGGCGTTGGCAGAGGAGCCAAGTACACACACTACCTCGCCATAATCCTGCATTATATGCAACATCTCGCGAGTCACTGTGGTGTTGCAGTCAGTGAACAGGGACACGAGTAAAGGAACGTTGTCTATCAGTTCGATGTGCGGACGTATCTTATCTATGCCCCTCGGCAGTTTAGCCTGTATACGCAGAATAAGTAAAGGAGGTTGTTTCGGTCAA